ATAGAAAACACCTAGACTAATCGCTAGACCACTGAGGTCGTGATATGAGTACCAATTTATAGTGTAAATTATCTTTTTCATTTAAATATTCTGTTTCCTTTGATTTTATTCTTATTAGAGGGTCAACTCATTCAAGACACATTTATTCAAAGTACAATATATTCATCTATGTAATAAAACCAAATGGAATCCTATTTGCTGCTTGGAAGAATTTTATTTAGCACAAATATCCAAATAAATTCCAAACTTATACTTTTTGCGTCGGAGGTTAAAAAAAATGCAAAAAGAAATTTCATAAAACGTTTTTAATCAATACCTTCTGATATTGAACGGGAACTGAAATAATCCCAATAATGGCAAATAAGTCGAAAAAAGTATTGTAAGGAATCGGGTCGTTATTTGCGGATAAGGAGTTATTTGTGGCGGCTGAGTACCGATTTTATAAACGAGAAATTTCTATACCACGATTTCTAGCAAATTATAGCCTTATGGCTTCGTTTTACCTTAGCAGACATAGATTTTCTATAAAATATAGACAATAAACCGTAGGTTTAGCTTTCTAAACTATAGCACCTGTTTCGCGTTTGAATTATATTTATTATTAGTAGCTTGGTAGTAGTAATTTGTATGATTCTTTGATCTAGGTGCCTATCAATATCATATTATTATCTGTATCAACTAACAACTATATATGCAATGAGCAAATTGATATATTTCAGTATAGACAAATTAAATCATATTAATAATTTAGTTATGAAGCGGATTGCTTCATATTTAGTAAGTAATAAAAAATGAAATTACACACAAAATAAACATAAATAATATTTAAAAATATCTCCTTTTTGTGTTATAAATAAACGTTTAGACTAAGAACTAAAATGACTTGCTCTTTGCTAAAAAATAATATAATATCATATATACGTTGGACATACAGTCTAAGTAAACAGTGTGGACAGATCCAACAGATTTATTTGTATAGTTAGACGATAAGTAATATTTAATACGAAATCAAGTGTACAAATAATGAATTATATGTGGAAATTATTTTCAACCTACTTTGAATAGAAGTTTGTTGACAAAGAAATTGTATTATAGTATTTTTTGTGTCGACATTCGTCAATATCTGCTAATTCTAAATTGAAGTTATATACGTATTAGTTATTAATTGAAAAATATATATTAGTATTAATCCAATATTTATATTTCGTTATAATTAAAATGTTAACTAAACTGTTTGGACGTAACTTGAATGGAGTATTAAATAATTATGATATCGATTTGTGTTAGGTACCTATTGAGAATATTGAGAGTTTTAAATTTATTCACACCTACTGCTTAATTCTAATATGAACTTTGCGTTTAAAAACTATGAAACCGGCTGTTATGTTTAAAATCAATGTGAAGTTGCATTAGATTATAAAACTTAAAAAAGTGCTGGTGAAAGTTCTAACAATTTTGGACATACTTATCTAACACGCACGAAACACGCAAATAGCAAAACTTGTTTGTGAGAAAATCAACCAAGATCATCTTCTAAACAAGTAGGTAAATATATTTAGTTCTGCTGAATATTGCCCCACTCACATAGCTGTAATTACTACGTAGAAATATTTCCGTAAGAACCTTACGGGTCTTTCGTAGATTTAACGAAAATATTTAGTACCTACTTACACCATTACACGTAAACATGTTTTGTATGATTAAATACACAGACTTATGTATGTATATAAAACTATTCCAATTCAGATTAATTGAATATTGAAGCCTTGTAATCTTACCTATCATTTATTTATAGATACTATTGTATAATTATAATATTACCTTGACTGCTTATGCTACTATTGTATATTGACGTTGCAGTATTTCGTGAATGTTAGCCCTAGAGGTCAAATGGTATCTGTCCGCAATTTCAAGCTAAGATCAAGGTTACTGACCAGCGATATAATACAATTTGAAGTGGTCTATGTTTATACAAACTTGAAAGCAATTTATACGTTTTCAACTGATTACCTAGCCATGTTACTTAATAAAGTGTATCAAAATTTACTCACCTCAGTTCAATGGGAAATTATGTTATATTACAGATACCTATCTAAATGCTCCCTATACTTAACAATTTATATTTCTTTATGCCAAGTCTAAGTTAGGCAAGCTGGCATAGCTAAGTATAGATAAAATTAAATGTATAGACATGAGAATCTTACACGAAACTTTTGCCAGTTCCTAGTTTGGTAGACTTCATTCCAGATATCGTCATATTTCGTTGGTAAACACTTATATGCATATTATTGAAATCTTTCTCATACGGTACATCAAAGATGAGAGTCAAGACGATAGTTGCAATTATTAGAGCATGCGGCTGCGTGTATGCCAAATAAGTAATCGGTGTCATTTGAATCAGGGCGACAGTATTTTTAAGTATTTGTAGGAAAGTGATTCGTGACTTTCGTTTGTATGGTATGGCCACAGAATAATGAGTGGCGAAAATCTTTTATGCAATTTATAAACTTCCATCGTCTTCTAGATACTTCGTCCGCCTTTAACGTTTTTTATTATTACTGTTCCACTTCACTATGTTAATTGCCTTCAACAATATGCCTACATTTTTTTTATTTTTATAAAATTTTTTTGAAATCATTATAATTTAAGTATTTAGTTCATTTACGAATTTTCCGTAAGCCATGTATGAATAGTAGTAGCCTATTTAAGTTTTTTTCCATTGCTAATAAAATTAATAGCGTAAATATAATTCCAGGTATATAGACTCAAAAATCTACGACGAAATATTTATTATTTTCATTATTGTAGTGCTTTACCTTACTCTTAAATACCTTTTTATGCACACATATAATTTAGATTGCAGTTTACTCTAAGTAATCTCGTTGAATCAACAAAAAATGCTAATTCTGTGTATTGTGAATAAGCAACTCGAACCGATATGAAACACGTTTTTAAAATACTAATTGGCGTATCAAGTAGGAACATACATGTATATTTCTGTATAAGTATTTTTTTTAAATATACTTGTGTAGTAGTAATAGTATTTTATTTATCATTACAATGCCTTTTACATTGTTTTATAATCAAAACTTGTATACTCGAAAATGAAATAAGAAGAAAAGTGTTGTAGTGGCATACTCGTATCGTTGAATTACCTTCCACCAATGATACTCCGAACCGATACGATATTAAAATCTTCAAGTTAAGAGCTTAAACATTTTTAAATGGCTAGTAACGCACTTGCAATCACCTGGTATTGCTCATGGGCGGAGGTAATCCCTTAAAATCAAGTGAGCAGCAAGCTCGTTTGTCCTCTGTGCTATAAATAAAGAACGCTATGTAGGATGACTCTGTTCATTGTACAGAATAAGTAGATATAGTTATGGATATTTGCAGAAAGCTATACTAACTTAAAATAAGTCAGCACATTTATTTAATATTATAACAAACTATATAGATAGAGTATTTAAAAAATGTAATTTACAAACAATTTCATACAATAAACTCTCGCATTAGCAAATCAAATTCGCAGAAACTGCAATACGAATGATGTGCAATAAAAAACAAATATTACTAAATAACGAATATTTTATCGTTTCATTTAATTGCTTCAATGTTTGATAGTAGGTAGGTACTATTAAAACTATATATAATATACTAGTATACATTATATACTTGCATAATATTATGAGAACCATAACATTTTATTTTATAGTTACTGCGATTAAAATTAGTAACAGTTCCCCAGAAACGAATGATTACAAATATTGTAATAATATTATAGAAATCAAAAGTATCCATATTGGTAGAACAGACAGGCAAGTTTAAATTTTTATGTTATGTAAATTGTTATGTACCAATTCTCCCCTTGACACTATGAACTTCAAAACAGGTCATTTTGACTATTTGGTATAATTTTATTTCTCATAGAAATTACTCTCTAATGACTATTTGCTATAATTTTATTTCTCATAGAAATTACTCTCTAAGTACACTATTTTTTACTAATTACTTAAACAAACAAAGAGTAAAACGCAGCATGCTATTAGACTATTTCAGTACTGAAATAGAATGGATGTAGTCAAGCCTATATTTAACGTCTATATTTCATAAGCCTTCGTATATGAAATACGAAGGCATATTGTAATTGTTGATTTATTAGTTTTTAATAATGTGCAAGAATATGCAAAAGAAAGACATCCTAAAAAAATAATTATGTGGTCTAAATGTGTCTATATGTTTTAGTCCCGTCGAATGTTTTAAAACCCTTTTACACAAATAATACCTGAGTTTTCTATAGGGCGCCAAATATTTAAAATCTAAGAGTAATAACTAGTTTCTTCTTTATGAAGTCTATTCTAAATATGTATGTTTTATATTTAAGTATACCTTCAAAGTAGTAGCTTAAAGCTAGCTTAGCTATTACAGCATGATTTCTCTATGAACATTAAGAAAAATAAGAATGTATACATATAGAACCTACCTACGTGTACCTCTCTATCGGTACAGATTGCGTGATTCCAATTATATTCGCTTACTTTATTAGATATGTTATCGACGTGAATGAACCTTTCTTTTTTCGTACCTACCGAAATGTAATACAGTTTCTCAATAGAGTCACGCACTCGACATATCGATTATTAAAATGTTACAAATACCATTCTAATCACTGATGTGGTGATTACATATCGAGTCATCATATTGGTAAATTAATCTTATTTTTCTCATGTTTTAGCAATTGACTCATAATCCGTAAATAAACAAGGTGCGGAGTTTGGTTATCTTATCTAAGTTAGAGTACGACAGGTCTGGACTTGGTGGGTGGGGGCATGTCCCGTTAGCTGCGCAGCTCGCAGCCACAGCTGATTTCACATGTGTCTTGTTCACGACTCCGCGCGCTCGCTCCGAGCTATGTTGACGCGAAAATGCCGGTAACTTAACTCGAAAAAGTGCATGTGGTTTCTAAACTTCATTACGTACGTACTAATTTGTTAAAGAAGCTAAGTATTGGATACAGTTACATCCGACATCTAATATTAGTGGGTAAGTTTACAATATTTTTAATATTTAGCAATTGTATATCTTAGGATCTGCGCAGACGATGGATAATTTATGGCGTTAATTTTTCGATAAAATATACAGTACAATAAAGTACAATAATATGATTTCACACGACGTCGAAAGGTGAACCAAGTAAATACGACATACAATAATTTATCTTTCCTCATCTGTGCAGTTTCCAAATCTTGATATACGTAGTGACATAAAGTTTCTTAATACATAACAGAGAAAATGTAAATTATGTATAGATAACTTTATTTATTTCGTATTTACGTATTTGTTAATCTTACTAAACAATTTAAGGTGATTACTTACTTAAATAGAATTGTCCTGTACCTTTTAATAATTATCTTGTAACCGTTTATACTATAAAACGTACTTACTATGTAATGTTCTTGTATATATGTTATCTAAAAATCGGCTCTATAGATTTAGATGTAAATTTGTACTTTGATACCGTTTTGCTTTTTATAGATTGCATTTTGTGTATAGAACACATACCTGAATACTTTATTACCGTTTATTACGGCGCAGGCTTTAAAAGAATAATTTTGACATACCGTATGTAGTGAATATGTTAAATACTATTGAGCAGTGATCTAATTCTTAACCTTGACTTGTGCAATTAGACAGTAATAACATGTAACTTGTATGTACATGAAGCAAAGAGCACGTACGGGTAGGTATTCGTTGCATAAAGAGATAATTGCCGTTATTGGATCTGCATCGATGTGCATCCAGTCTGTACGAGCGGCACATTTGAAATACTATTGTAACTCATACCCATCGTTTATAATATTTAAAAAGTATTCCTACCGTTTTATAGAATTATGACACTTTTTACATTTAATAAAAATGTATAGTTTATGAATCATCTGTTATGAAACTTTCGCTAAAAGCACTTTAAAATCTTAATTCAGTGCATTTCAAAGATATTATGACAACGCTCGAAATACCTTTCACCCTGTCTTTTATTGCTGGTTTTCTTCTATTCCGAAACGAAACTTAGTGTATTATAGCAATGGTCTGTAATTCATGTGAGTAAATATTTATCATTGTAATTTGTGACTAGCCAATAAATAAAATTGTGTAAGCCTTTTCAGTAGGTCTAGGTTTCTGCCGTCTGCACTAAACTATAATTGTACCTCAACGGGTTTAGATATGTACATTAATGTACAATTACATTTTTGATCCCAACACTGTATCTTGCTGATAGAAATATTAGTTTTATTATCACTAACAATATTACTCTTAATCAAATTTGTATTTCTGTATAACATAATATAATATCTACCATTACATAAATAGAGCTTATTTATAGCTTAAATTACATTGCGATTAAATCATAGAACCTATTTATGACGATGTTTTAAATAACTAAATTCTAAATTTGGCATCAAAATTTGCTACTAACATTATTCGTATCTATAGATGCCTATATTATAAAACTGAAGAGTTAGTTTCGTTGTGTGGTTGAACGCGTTAACCTCAGGAATTTGGAGTAGTAGTAATCCGAATGGAACAATTCTTTTAGTGCTTGATAGCCCATTTATTAACGAAGGTTACATGCTACGACTAATAAGAGCGGAGCGTCAATAAAAATGTTACAAAAATGCGAAATTGTGATGCAGACGAAATTGTCAACTAGTTAAGGATATATCAATATGATTTAAACGCACAAATACCCGCACAATGTTGCGGTTTACAGAAATGTTAACAACAACATCCTGTAGCAAGATGTGTGTTCGTGCTCCAAGTACGGATCACTAAACTCGATCGTATCGATACAATCGAGTGCTCATCTCGTTTTTACGGTCACAACACGCACGTTACTATGTGGGAGCTTGTGTTTTATGCGATTGTTGTTCGATTTTCACATTATTTCCACACCCACGGTTTTGCTCGATTAATTGTCATATTTCACCCGGATGTGCCTACTTTGTTTGTGAATTGACTGTAATTATCTGCAACAATAGAAATGTTTTATTTATTAATACTATCTTAAATAATTAGGTGTGTTTTGAATCTAATATTTAAGTGTAATAAATAGCAGACCGAATCTTAATATCCGATTTAATAATAATCAGTACACATTTCATATGATTATTAATATTATCAACGTAAATATATTTTCAAGGTCTTTGACTCCAGTATGCCCTCTGGAAAATGGTTTAAAATATTGCAAGTCTACAATTATTTATAATTTGAATACTCCATGCATTCTATAAGATTTGTTATTGATATAACACAAACAATAATATTTAGAATAAAGTTAACAATGGACAACCCCGATGAAATTATTCCGATTGTATTTTTTTAATTTTATACATAGGTATCAGTATTACAAATTCTGGGTGAAGATAATATTAACCGAGCTAAGAGGACTATATTGAGTGGGTAACAATTGACGGACAAAATATTTTTTTACCCTAAGATACTTACGTTATTAAAAACCAATATGGCACTATTTATTCATTGAATAAACAGCTCAATGAGAACAAAAAAGATAATATGTTTGTATAGAGAGTGCGTGTAAAAATGACAACGCGACTTCGTCTAATTGAAATACCTAAATGTAACCGGAAGATTGTACGTACGTTGTCAAATTGCATCAATTACTTACAAAATACCAATTAAATGACTGTTTACTTTCATCAATAATTTATTTAAAATTCAAGTACACACAAGTATTGTATTTTTTTTCATTACAGTCTTAGCAAAGAGCATTAGAGACGGTACGTGAATGCAACTCTTCCGCATCTAATTGTCCAATGGCAACGTCAAACTGTTAGCAAATACATACTCATATTAATGTAACAAGGATGCCAATCGTACGAGAATAATAATTATACTAATAATATTTATAATTGTCTTGGTAGACAATTAACACAACGCCACCTAGTCCCAAAGGAAACAGAGCTTATATTCTGGGTACTAAATAACTGATATAAATATGTACTTAGATGTTTTTTGTAAATATATACATAGAAAACCCCTAGACTGACATAAATAATCATCTCATGAATACAAATGTTTGTATCGTGCGAGGAATAAACCCCGCGACCTTCGGAAGTAAAGAGGTGTGCTAAACCGCTAGACCACCGAGGCTTAAGTATTTGGCACGACGATATTTTAATTCTCGTACAAGTATGTACGAGATACTGACCTACGGAAATCGGTTAAAATGTAATGATGTACGACAACTTTACATTTTAACCGATTTCTGTAGGTTAGACAGACAATATACGAAATTTTTTACTTACCTATACGACTATAAATGTTTTGTATTTGGCAACCCTGTAAAAGTATATTTTCAATTGTTTCATATCTCGTCTAGCGTTGGTTTGAATTCATTCGGACATTGGTCGCGGGCGGAAAGTGTTCCGCCATCGATACTTCACGGCAGTTGTCAATCAGAGCGGATGACTATTACAGATGCGCTTACAAATGCACGATGTCGACCCCGTTTCTATCGAATCAATTTCACTGGCCCTACTGAATACTGGACCAATGCACCAATTGAAGAAACTTAGAAAGTCAGCATTTGTCTCTCTCCTATTCTTCTATTGGACTTATATTTATGAGCATTTCATTTACTTCCCTAATTGAAAAGTTTGCTCATACTTTGAAATTAGTAATTGTAACTAACTCCTTATTTTGATTTTCTGTTTTTTTATTTATGTATGTATATGTTGTATGCTTATTTAGGTTTCCTGATAGTTGAAAGTACCTAATAAGTTTAGAAAATTTTACACCGCTTAAATGTATCAAGAAATTACTTATTTATGTAAATTAACAATTATTTGATAGGTTTTTATTCCTAAAAATGAAGTAAACCTGAATTATATCCATATAAGTATATTTTACATAAAACCGATTAAAATTCTAGATCATTATAATCTCGTCAATTTCTAACTTATAAAATTGGTTAGTAATAAAACAAAATATTGAATAATAATGTATAATATTGTTTAAATAAGGTTAATTATTATATTCCTATCGTGACTGTGATACAAACGTAATGGTCTCGGCTTTCTTTTTATTTTTTCAACTAGTGCTCGTCATTACCTTACATACATCTGAGCACGTTTTAAGAGATTTGGCATACAACAATTAAAAACCGATTACTCTTTATAAGAATTTCTTTGCTGAAATACTAAGTGCTTTTAAAGAATTAATTATATCTCTATAAAGCTGCTTTCAACGTATGTAATATATACATATATAGTATACATCCAGTATTAATACGTAAGTGTATTTTTTACACCTTGTGATGGTTCTATTTCAAATATGATATTTATCTCATAAATTGCATGGAATTTTTTTATCTGCTTTCAATAATAAATATGGTGAAAATGCCTCAAGTGTAATTCAGTGTTTCTTGGATAACATCACAGAAACAATTGAACATACCAAGAACTCTTCCATAGATAAGTTACTTTGTATATATTGAATTAATTTAGTTAATCGATATAGATGGACACGGATTGCATAAGTTTTTCACGCTTCATGCTTTATATGCTAATTAACAGTAATTTAAAGATAATTTCTACTGCGCTGATCAATATCGATTGGATTATTAGCTTGTAACAATTTGTAAGACTTAGAATTATGGCGCTATTATAATACACTTATTACAGTATTATGCGAAATTTCCTTACTAATAAATAATATTCAATAGCTGTAGGTACTGCTGTATAATATTCAATCAAAATTAAATTTTAGGTAATATGTGGATATGTATTGAAATTTACCTTATGCTTTTAAATTAAATATAAGTATTAATATACTTATTGTCAATTTAAATCTATGGATTGTGACGAATTTATTGAAGTAACAAATTTAGAAGTAGAAAATAATATAAATTAGGTTGTTTTAGATAGGTAATATAATACAAGAGAGATACAAGAGAGTCAAGTTAAAAATATGAGAAAAATAAAAATGTAAACACCATGAAATAAGCGTATGGATTGATAGTCCAC